GAGCTGGGGCCCCAGCTGCGCGGGTGGGCGGCCTGGCTGCGGAGCTTGGCAGCCGGTGGTGCGGGGTCTCGGTAGGGATTCCTTCCGGGGACTTGGGAGACAACTTTGGGAGTTTGAGAGGGAAATGTCAGCCCGGAAGGATGCGCCTGCTAGGGAGCGCGGACCGGGTCGTGGTGCCAGGTGCGCGCCCCAGTCTTGGCAGGGGCTCCTGGGCTGGGGGTGGGAGGGCGAGTCGTTTTCCCCGGGAGGGAAGCGGGAGGGAGGGGAGGGCGCGTTTCGTGGGGGCAGGAAGACGCTGTCGCTGCTCCTGGGGAACCTCGAGGCGCCAGAGGTCGCAGTTCACTCAAAGCAGTCAGGACCAGGTTTAGGGACCCTTGGTGGTTGCATTTTCAAACAGCCCGTGCCTGGCGCCTCACTCTGGTTGAAATCGACTCGATGGTAGGGCATTTGTGGCTTAACCGAGCGGTTTGTGTGTAGTAGTTGGGCTAGAGGTTGCGCTGCTAACAGGCACTTCAAACCAGGCAGCGCCTCCGCGGGAAAAAGTTGACGCTTTCTGCTGCCCTGGACATTTCAGTCTGGGAAATCAAAAGGTAGGCAGTTCGACCCTGTCCTCTTAGGGTCTCTATGAGTCAGAATCGACTCTATGGCAGTGAATTTGAGTGATTTGTGGAAGGAACCCTGGTGACTAACTGAAGGGTTCCCACCTACCAGGAGCTTAGAGGGATAAAGACCTGCTACCTACAGCTTAAGAATTCTTTGAGGCAGTTCTACTCTACCATGCTGGGTCAGTATAGGTTAGGGTTGAAACTGACTCCAGAGCACAAAGCAACATGGATTTGTAAAGAACCAGAGGCCACATATCTATTGCAGTCTCTTATAGCTTTGAGTGCCTAGGGGCTATACTTAACCTGAAGAGCTGAACTATAATTCAGCCATAAAAAAAAGTTAGTGCAGTACAGGTAACTCAGAGCTATTGATCTCTTTTTTTAAGGTTGTAAATTTAGTTCATCATACATCAAAAAGTAGTTACCCTTGAATATTGGCCTCTATTTTGAAGAATAAAAGATGAACATTTATGGTTTATATGTGAGCTTAGGATCTCTAGAAAGTGAATGGGGCAGTCAGTAGGGGGAAACTGAGGCACAGTAAGTAACTTATCCTATAATCAACTTACTGGAGATAGTTTTCCAAAATAATTGTAAATACCACCACATTTGAAATGCTCCCCGAGCTCATCTTATTTCTGTTTGGGATGCACATATTCTAAAAATCCAACATTTATGAAGTATGGTTATCTATGACAAGAATTTATATGTAATAATTGTTCACAGGTGCAAATTAACTGTTTCCCAATAATGATATTTGGGACTGTTATTACGTAATGTCAAGTTTGCCTTCCTTTCCATTACTTTTGTTAATTACTCATTAAATAGATCTTTTGAAGGACAAGTGTTCTTTTAGGCTGTGGTTTTGCTTATTTAATGCAAGGATTTTGAAGATAAGCTTAAGAAGAGGAGTCTAATTGGGGTTTTTCAGAAAGGAGTACATTTTTGAACATTCACCTGATGTTTTGTATTTGCCCCCCCCCCAGCTTTATCCATAATCTTCAAAATAGGGGATCAAAGAGGATGACTAAAAAAGCAAACACCATTTAAAATGGATTTAATATTTTGAAATTACAAACCCTTACAAGTTTCATAAGATTACATATGTTCCCCCACAGAGAGCCTGGTTTATTTTCGAAGTGGTATTTTAGGAAGATGAATGTTCTTGAACTACTTTATATGTGAGGTTGGTTTGAGGCTGATGCCACAACTACGAAGAACATTGGAGTGAATTTTAAAGAGGTATCAGTTATTCTCATGAGGCAGGTTGTCAGCCCTTTTGATTTATTATTAAATCAACAGGTCTCAATTAGGTGTCTCTACAGGATTCATTTCAGTTTAAAATACATTTATTTGATAACTACTATATGCTGGGCACAATGCTGATTTCTGGATGTGTAAGTTTCCTGCTTAGTAGTTTCTTCATAATAATGTCGAGGTAATAATTAAGAAGATTGGTAAGAATGTAGGACATTTAAAGGGTAAACTTAAGGAGTCAGTATGTTGAACTTTCTAAACAAAATGTTGGGTGTTACTTTAAATTATTTCTGACTTGTCTGATGTTAACCTTGTATGTTATTCACTCCTATTTTATAAAGCTATAGGTCTTAAAGAGAGTGTGTTTTCTGGGACAAATATAACACATTAGCTATCCTAGAGGGAAAAGATGAGTTATTGGTATGAATTGAAATCAGTCTGTACTCTGGAGAGTGGCTGTTTCTTAATGCTAAGCTGCTTCACTTCCTGACCAAGTATTTTACACTATGCCTAGATATTGATTGATTTTTTTTTTTTAGAGCTCTTCTCTGCCTGCGTCCCTCCCCCATCCCCATGTTTGAGGAATATTTCTGAGCTCAAAATTAACAACAAAAAGGTTATGATTGTCAGCTTATAAGCCAGGTGTGACTCTCATCTTCTTTTGGGTTTGTTCCTTTTTAGTTGCCTGCCTGTTCCTCCCAGATGCTTCCTATCACCCCTCTTCCTGCCCCTGTTCCCTTTGCTGTTGGTGTCTGTTTCCGCATCAGTGAAATGGTCAGGGTAAGCCTGTGCCTGCCTCACTGCGAAATAATTGATGATGGTAAAGCACCTTGAAAAGGCTGAGTAAATGCCAGGTCTTTGGAATGGAAATTGCATATCCCCTTGTTCAATTTAAAGAAGATTTAAAATCCAATTTCAGTTTGAGTTCTTGGTGGGGGCAAAAAGAAGAGAACGTCACTTAAGTGTTTATCTTCAGATTAATAATATTTATTGTAAAGGGTCTATACTATTTAGGTTATTTGCCACCTCTAGTTATCCCCACCAACCTACCCCTTTTGCCACTTTCCCCCTTCATGCCAGGTCTGTTCTCATGCCTGTTGTGAACAGAAATATCTATTAATTCTTCTCCCCTGGGAGTCTCATTGTCTCCTCAGTCATTCCTGGTTTTTAAGATTCACAAGATAAGAACAAAGTGAGTTCTGTCCACCACCAAAGCTAGCGCTAGGAGGCTAAGGTGAAAAGATTAGTCTGATATTGCCTAGAAATGTTTTTTTGGGGGTGATATTTTAGTGTGAGCAAATCAAGCACCATGAAGAATTTTAGAAGCATGATTGTCTGAGAATTATTACTTCTGAATAGCTTACATTTGGAAGGGACTGTCGGTTCCAGTAACCAAAATCTTTGAAAATGGAAAATGGTGAATTTCTTATAAGTTTTCCTTTCCCTGTATGGGAATCTTGTGGTGAGTAGCCTATTGGAAGTATGAGAATCTTAAAATTGATGATCTTCCTGTCTTGGGGAAATAAATGAAAGAACAACTGCCATTTATATTAGGTTAAAATTGGCTGATATTTTACTGTTAAGTTCTCCAGCCTCTAACTAGCTTGGCCTTTGGTGAGTAAGCATAGATAAAGCCCATACCAGAGTGTGATGGTATATCATTTAAGAAAGCTAGCAGAGGTGGTGGTTCTTAAAGTGAAAACAGTTTAGAAGCCATCTTTAGTTACAAAATGTACATTTTAAATGTTCATGATTAAGACATTTTGCATATTTTGTCTTTGATGCTGTCTAATAAAAGAAAGAGGAGCCTTGTTGGCATAGAGGTTAAGCATTTAGCTGCGAATAGAAGGTTGGCATTTTGAAGTCGCCAGATGCTCTATGGAAGAAAGATAAGGCAACTTGCTCCCGTAACGATTATAGCCTTGCAAACCTTAAACGGAGTAGTTCTACCCTGTCCTGTAGGGTCTCTGAGTTGGAATCAACCTGAAGCAGTGGTTGATTTGGTTTTGGGAATATAAGTAAACCGTGATCGTTTGAGAAATAATCATATTGGTGGTTTTTATGCCTAAGCTTTTTGGCTACATTCATTTTGGCACATGATGGAAAGGTTTGGAAAGAATAAATAGGACTGTCTTGTGCGAAAAGTGAAAGATCTCACTTATATACAGTGTATATGATGGTGCTATTCAACCTTTTATCCTGCTTATTTGAGCTAGGCTAAGTGCATTTATTTAACCAAAAAGTCAAAAACTAAAATAAGCCTGTTTAATTTTCACATGAGTATAGAGTTGGGAAATATTAGAAGATAGAGAGCATTTGACTACCTACTACTTGTGACCTGTGTTTATGACTGTGGCTCTGCCCCTTCCTAAGTTTATAGGAGCAAATTGTTGTAAGAGCGGAAAGAGTGCCCATCTCTGTAGTAACGTGCCATTGTAAACTTCAGAAGGAACAGATATATTACAATTCTAGGATATGCCTTGAGGTTGCTTTCTTTTCTCAGGGAAAACTTGGTGGGGCTCATGTTGCTTCTTGCTTTTAGATTGCCAGTTTGGCTTTTCTTAAAAGGATTAACCAGTGTGAGATGTCTGACATAAACAGCTCCACCAAATTGGTATGTAACTTGTTGCTTTAGCATTCGTTTTAGTGAACATTGACAAAATGCTTGCTCTTTGTTAATATTTGGTAACTTTCCTGGATTGTCATCAGTTTTAGCTGACTGAAGTTTTTGATTATATATTTACTTATAGATTGGCCAAATGAATCAAATGTGTTCTTATAATTCTCTTGCCTTTCCAAGCACTGTTGAGAACCTCCTTCACTGTGGAACTTTTGTATTTCTTTCTTTGCTTTTTAAAGACTTTAAAAAGCATTATTTGGAGTATTTTCCAATGTATTTTAAAGTTACTTGAAAAGTAATGTCAATATTATCAAATTTGTTAGTGGTATAGTTTCAGAAATTCATTCAAATAAAGCATTGTCTATTGATGAATCATTAAAAGAATTTAAAAAGTGCTTAATAATAAGTACATTTGTCTATTGCTTGGTTTGAGATTACTTTGGAAACTGATGTGAGGGGTTGGTGTGGTCAGACGTTTGAGAGGTGGTAGCAAGTTAAATAGGTAATATATTGACACCTGCCTCATGCTTGAAGTATTGTCAAGGATGTTTAGTTTTCTGGTCATTTCAGATTGTGGTTTATTGCATTTTTCCCTGTGGTCTGTTGTCTAGTAGGGCTTGCTGTTGTCATTATTGCCATTATTTCTTGTAGGGCTGGTGTTAGCCATAAATCTAGACTGCTCTGATAATAAGAACAGGCTGTAACCTGACCTATTGCTTTTGTCAAAATGTCACACCGTGAGCTGTCTGTAGTAAATTGACATGCCCTGCCATTAACTCTAGTCCTACACAAATGTTAGTGGGCAGCAGGTCTTTTGGCAATTAGCCTGTGGCCCTTTTAAAACCTTAGGAATTTACAACTATAAACTGGAATTTTAGTAACCCTTGACTTGTCTTTCATTTCTGTTTTCTGACAGAGCATCCTTAACTAAATGCATAGCCTTCACACAACTCATTTTAAGATAGATTACAAGTGATTATTTTACCCTGTAGATTGTAATTTTTGGATAATTTAAATTAGAAATTCTTAAATAGTTAAATATTCTTGAGTTTCTTTTAACACAGAACAGATTTAGTTTCTAATTTGATGAATAGACTTTACTAAAGCATATTTAAAATTGTCCCTGGGGGAACCTTAATTTCTTCCAGAAGATGCTAAAACCAAACTAGTTGCTGTCTTGTTGCTCTCAGCTCTCGATGATGACTCTCTGTGTGTCAGAGTAGAGTGTGTGCTCCATAGGAATTTTATGGCTAATATGTTGGAATTCAAATACTTTCTTCTGAGGTGTGCCTATGACTGAACTTGAACTACCAATGTTTTAATTAGCAGCCTAGTTTAGTGCTTGACCATTTGTGTTACCCAGGGGCTCCCAGTCGAGTCAAAGTTACATAATTTGAATTTATAAACAAGATTCTGGTATAACTCGTAGTACTAATCTTCTCAATGAGGTAAAAAAATACTGTGATAGGAGGGGAGCCCATGTACACTGAGGCCTGTCATATCATGTTGAAACTTTAAATAATCTGGAAAAGGATCAAACGTTTGAGTTTCAAAAATAAAGTTCTGTCAGCTGTTGGGAAGGGTGAGTAGGGGGGCTATCTCATCTCAGAATTTTCTCCTTGGCTCACTGACCTAGTTGTTAAGATGCTGTCAAGTGATTTTCGACTGATAGTGGCTCCATTTGACAGAAGCGTCCCATAGGGTTTTCTAGACTGTAATCTTGAACAAGAACAGATAGCTAGCTCTTTCTCTTGTGAAGCTCTGAGGTGGGTTTGAACCACCAACCTTTGGTTAGTAGCTAAGTGCCTTAATCATTCACTACCAGGTCTCCTTCTTTAACTTAGACTAGTGTGTAAATTGGATCCCTGGTGGCATAGTGGTTACACATTGGACTGCTACCTGCCAAGTTGGCCATTCAAAACCACCAGTCCCTCTGACGGAAAAGGGCTTTCTATGCCTATAAAAATTTTAGTCTTGGAAACCCAAAGGGGCAGTTTTACTCTATTCTATAGGGTTGCTGTAATTACAACGTTCTAGGTCTATAGTTTACAGTAATATATCCCATCATATGAGTATATGTTTTGTTTATTCATTCATTAGTTGATAGACTTTTGGGTTGTTTCCTCTTTTTGGTTATTCTGAGTAATGCTGCTCTGAACCCTTGTATCCACATTTTTGTGTGGATAGGTTTTTGGGTTTTTTTCTGGGTATATACTTAGGCATGGAATTGCTGAGTTTAACTTTTAGAGTAACTACCAAATGTTTTTCATAAAGAAGTATTTGATTCTTAATTTTTTAAAATCATTTTATTGGGGCTCATACAACTCTTATCACAATCCATACATACATCAATTGTATAAAGCACACTTATACATTCATTGCCCTCATCATTCTCAAAATTCGCTTTAAGAAACTAAAATTTAGCTGACCCTCTAATTGATTCCTAATAATAATGCTCTGCAGAAGTTAGTGTTCGGTTTCATTCGGGTTTTTTTATTGTATTGTGCTATAAGAAGGCATTAATTGTTTTTTTCTTATAGGGAACACCACCAGAAATGGAATCCATGGTGCAAACAGAGCCTGCAGGTAAGATTTATTTGTCTAAAGGTGAGAATATTTTTAGTTAATTAATTGGAATGGTATGTATACTGAGCTTTTAAAATAAGAACCTTTAAGGAAATAAAGCTTTAGTTAAGTATTTAGCCCCTCAAAAATTCCCCATTGCTATCAAACTTTAAACGTGTCAGTCTTTATAGGAATAGCTATCTTCACCTTTTTCTGTTGGAATGGTTAGTGTGTTTAAACCTTAGACCTTTATTTTAGCAATCCAATGTTGATCCATTTAAAAAAAGACCAAGCAAACTCACTGCTACTGAATCCAGTGATTTTAGAATGGAAGTCACTACTAAAGATAATCTTGTCTTTCCTTTCTTATTTTCAACAAATAAAACAAAAAGTGAGGTTAAGTGAAAAGGTCATACAGCAATCTGTTAACAGTGCCAAGATTAGAATCTGAATGTTCCAACTCTAAAATGAGGGATAAAAATGATGGTCTGGTGCTCGGCTATCAAAAGATACAGTGTCTGGGGTCTAAAGGCTTGAAGATAAACAAACGGCCATCTAGCTGAGAAGCAACAAAGCCCACACGGAAGAAGCACACCAGCCTGTGTGACCAAGAGCTGTCAAAGGGATCAGGTATCAAGCATCAAAGAACAAAAAATCATATCATTGTAAATGTGGGTGAGTGCAGAGAGGAGACTCAAAGCCCATCGGTAGGTAACTGGACACCCCCTTACTGTGGGGAGGATATGAGCCATTCAGGGTGCAGGGTAGCAACGATGAAACATATAACTTTCTTCTAGTTATTAAATGCTTCCTCCCCCCACTATCATGATCCCAATTCTACCTTACAAATCTGGCTAGTCCAGAGGATGTACATTGGTACAGATAGCAACTGGAAACAGGGAATCCAGGACAGATGACTCCTTGAGGACCAGTGGTGAGAGTGGTGATGCCTGGAGGGTGGAGGGAATGTGGGGTAGAAAGGGGGAACTGATTACAAAGAATTTAGGTATAGCTTCCTCCCTGTGGGATGGACAGCAGAGAAGAGGGCGGGGGGAGACATCGGACACTTTAACGTATGACAAAATAATAATTTATGAATTATGAATGGTACGTGAGGGAGGGAGGGGGAAAATGAGCAGCTGATATTAAGGGCTCAAGTAGAAGGCAAATGCTTTGAGAATGATGATGGCAACAAATGTACATATGTGCTTGACACAATGGATGTATGGATGGATTGTGATAAGAATTGTATGAGCCCCCAATAAAATGATTTTTTTAAAAATAGTTCAGTCTTGGTGTTAGTGAGAAGTCTGCTCACTGTCCCATGAATATTCCATTTTCACTTGCAATCTCTGCTTTGTGCTGTGTTTTTGGTCCCATAACTTACTCTTCACATCTAAGTCATGTTCGTTACTCAAAACCCAGTTCAAGTACTGACTTTGTCTTTGGCTAAGGCTATCCTCTGCTGTCCTCTAAATTTTGCCAAGTGTATTAATTAGATTAATGTAGCTTCTCTATGATCTAAACTTTGCTTGAGTCAGAGCCATATTTTTAGAGTTTCACTTTTTTTCCTATTAGATATTACTGTAGAACTCTCTAGTAAATATAAATATTCACCTATTTTTCCCATTAAATCATTAGTATAAAAACTGTCCAAGTATGAGGGGTATCCCACCCAAAATAGATTTTTTTCAAAGCTATGTATTTTTTTAACAAAAGAACCTTATCACTTTCAAAGTACTCTCCATTATATTTAATACATTTGCCAAATCTTCTATTCCATTCATGGAAACATTTTTCAAACTCATCTCTGTGGATGGATGATAGCGCCTCCATATTTTTCTTCACCTCTTTCTGTGTCCTCAAATTCACTGTCTTTTCACGTCTGTCTTCATTTGCAGAAACAAAGAAGTTGCATGGTGCCAGGTTAAGTGAGTCAGGTGCATGCAAGAGAGGCATGCTTTTTTTTAGCCAAAAACTGGTGCACTGAGATGGCTGCGTGAGCAGGTGCACTGTCTTGGTGGCAAAACCAGTCCCTTGTCTGCCACAAATCAAATCAGTTGTCACATTGTTATGCAATCTTTTCAGAATCTTTAAGTAGAAAGCTTGATTAGCAGTCTGACCTGGTGGAATGAACTAATGCACTACGAGTCGACATTTTTGTCTGTTCAGGAAGTTGACAGACATCCAGAACTAGGTTTGCCATCAATGGACATTTCACCTTTTTTGAAACAAGAAAACCACTTCTACACTTGAGTTTTTCCTAGAGTGCTGTCCTTATAAGCTATATTCAACATTACAACAGTTTCTGCGGCATTTTCCCAGGCCATGAAATAAAATTTCACAGCCCCATGCTGTTCTTTTAAATTGGCCATCACAAAAAAACAAGTTTTGAGTGAAACTACTTGTACAAAAATATTCACTATGACCAGAGAGAACCTTCCTAGGCGATGCCACTGGGCGCCCTAACTCTGAGCAATGATTGCCTAGTGGGGAAAAATGTGTACTACGAATGCTCTGCTCTGCTCAGTGAAATTCCAGTTTTGGGGGTACCCTCTTTTATGTTCCCTCCCTGAAGTGTTTGATATATCTCAGAGTCACAAAGTCAAAACCATTACCTTGAGTGGTACATCTGGCACCATACACAGGTCCTTTTTAAAAGCTGAAGTGGAATTAGATTAAAATCTTCGGGATTAAAATATGAATGACAGTTTGAAGAAATATAATGGCCAGACGTATACAACATCACAAAGAGGCAGTCACTAAAATCCAGACTTGAGAACACTATAAAGGACCAGCCAGCTGGTATCTACCAAAACAAAAAAATAAATAAATAAAACTGCAAGGAAAAGAAGAAAAGATCGGAGGAAAAAGAGTTTGTGGATAAAAAGAGAGGACATTTGTTCTAGTTTCAAATATTTTCTGCTTTTCAATTGAGGTTTTTGTTTTATTTTGTTGGGTTTTTAAAAATGTGTTTCTGCATATGAAATCCAGGATAGGTAAATTTATACACAATAACTGGATGATAGTTTTCTAAGGTATGACAGAGGAGGTTGGAGGAAATAGGGAGCCAACAACAGTGAGTACAAGAATGAAGAAAGTCTTAAAATTGATTACATCATTATTTTTAGAATGATTGAACTATTTAATTCTATAATACATAAATTACATGTCAGTAAAACTTTTAAAAAGTATGGGCTTTATTTGAACCTGATGCAAAGAAGTTTGACGTAATTAAGATTTTGTTGGGGAAATATGAACATTGGTTATTTTATGGTATTAAACTATTAAGTTCCTTTTAGTTTTTATTACAGTGATAATAAAATTTTAAAAGCCATTCTAGAGATGATATTGTTAGGTGGTGTCAAGGCGATTCCTATTCTTCGCAACCTCATGTGGCAGAGTAGAGCTGTCCCATAGAATTTTCTAGGCTTTAAACTTTATAGGAGTAGGTGGCCAGGTCTTTATCTTGCAGAACCATAGAGTGAGTTTAACCTGCCGACCTTTCAGTTATCAGCTTAACTATTGGGCTACAACGTCTCTTTATTTTAGAAATATATGCATTAATATGTGCAGCTGAATTGACATAATATAAACTTGAGATCACAAGATCCTGTGCTATTAAACTTTGAGGAAAACCTGGACCTAGACTGTTGAAGCACATTCCTCACCTCCTTACTATGTTGTAGTCTAGCATCTCTTAATGTTATGCTGTCTCAAAAGCATAAGCTTTATTGCCTAGAGCATGGCAATCTTAATATTTTAAGGATCAGTTGGCTTCATTTGTAGATTTATTCATCCAGCATATGCTTGAGAGTGTTTTGCATGCCAGTTCCTATTCTAGGTACTGAGGATACTGCAGAGAACAAAACAGATAAGGTGAAATAAATAAGTCCATTCCGTTTTAGAATTTAACATTTAGCCAGTGGGGGAACCACACTAAAATTAATGAGGAAATTATAAAGTACATGAAAAAACAAGTCAGTTACTGTTGAACAAGTTCAAAATCATGGCAACCCCATGTGTGCCCCAAGTAGAACTGGGATTACTAGGGTTTCAATGATTGACTTTTTTGGAGCTAGTTATTCCTTCCCAGCCACCTTTGAATAGATTTGAACCAGCTAAGCACTTAACCATTTGTTCTACCCACTACTGCAAAATGCATAGTATATTAGAAAGCGATAAGTCCTATGCAGAACACAAAGGCATCAATTGTAAAATTAAAACTGGTTCATATTGGAAAATAAAGTTACCATGTATACTCGAGTATAAGACTCTACCCTAAATTGTATTTTGAAAATTTGGGGTTGGCTTATATTTGTGTATATACGGTGGCTTCTACTTTGAAAAGTGCTCTTTCAAATGATTGCTGTGACTATCCATCATGCTAATTCTTTTTGTTTTTTTTCTTCAGTGATTATTAAGGAAGAGAGTCCAGATACAGATTCTCCCCCAAGTTCACCTCTTGTGCAAAGTGGTAGGTATTTTAGATGTGGTGGTGGTTTTGTTGTTTTTACCTTTGGTCCTTACTGTAATTTGAGTTTTACATTACTTACATTTAAGTTTTGAAGAGAGAAGATAATGTTCATGTTTGAAAAGACACAAAAGATATACATTAGGGAAAGAATACTCTTCTTACTCCAGCCACTCATTACCCTTGAGCAATCAAAGTTACTGGCTTTATTAGTGGTATTCCATGTGATAAGATACCTTTCATGCTCCCCCCACTTTATTTCTTATTGCAATTCGGTTATATTACTCTTGTGCAACCATCACCCACAATCACTGTCAAATTTTTACTTTGTCTTTGCTTAGAATTAAATTGGTTTAAGGATTAATAAAAAGATAATTGCATAATTCTGTGCAAATTTTGCAAAATTACAGCTATCCGTGATTAATGATTACCTATTTAAAATAATTTGTTTATAAATAAAACCCCTCTTCTAACAGAATAAATTTCAAAATCTTTTCTTGATTGTACAGAAGACAGTGGTTAAGACCTTAGACATGGGAGAGTGGTGTTACAGACCGGTTCTAGACCCTGGCCTTACTCTTACTGGCAGTGTGATCTTAGAAAATCACTTATTGTGTCTTGACCTTTTTTCTCCTTTGTACCACAAAGATAATGAAAGCATTTACTGTATATACACGAGTATAAGCGGTGGCTCCTAATTTTACCAGAAAAAACTGGGGGACTTTTTCAGCATAAAAATGCTGAGTTGGTGCTTTCTTTAGCCCACTATCATGACCACAATTCTTCCTTACACATCAGATTAGACCAGAGCATGCACACTGCTACAGTGCAAGGAATTCCCACAACACAGGGAATCCAGGAAAGATAAACCCCTCGGAGCCAACAAGGAGAATAGAGATATCAGGAGGATTAGTGGAGGGTGGGGGGAGAAAAGGGGAATGGATCAACAGGATCAATCTATAGAACCCCCTCCCAGGGGGACGAATAACAGAAGAGTGGGTGAGGGGCTGTGGAGGACGATATAAGATATGGAAAAAGTCTACAACTCGTTAAGGGTTCGTGAGGGGGAGATGGGGGTAGGAAGGAGTAAGAAATGGGTAGCCGATATCGGGCTGAAATGGGTAGCCAATATCGGGCTCAAGTGGGTAGAGTGCTTTGAAAATGATGACGATGGGATATGATATATGCAAATGTGCTTGACACACTGGAAGAATGTATGCGTTGTGATGAGATGTAAGAGCCCCCAATAAAAGTATTCTTTAAAAAATAAAATAATAATTTGTCAAGGGATCATGAGGGTGGGGAGGGGAGGGAGGGGAAAAACCGTTTTATTAGGGATTCATACAACTCTTATCACAATCCATACATAGATCAATTGTATAAAGCACATTTGTACATTCATTGCCCTCATCATTCCCAAAACATTTCCTCTCCACTTAAGCCCC